GTTATCATAGCTAATATTTTTGAATATTTGCTACATACTCTGCTAAGCATTTATGTACAAGCGTACTTCAAAAAGTTCATGGAAAATGAAGCTAAAAGATGATACAAATCTTTCCATGAACTTTTTGAAGACCCCTTATATATTATCTCATTTAATCTACTTCAGAACTTTGCGTGATAGGTATTCTTACTATTATTTCTATTTTACATTTGATAACACAAGGCTTTGAGAAGTTGAGGCACTCACTCAGTGTCACTCAGCTAGTGATGTGTGGAGTCGGAGTTGAGCCCTGGTAGTCTGACTTGAGATCCAGTTGTATTAACTTGGTTTTCTTGTCACTATGTTTTTACCCCTCCTCCTAAGACTGAAGGTTCCTTGAAGCAGGAGACATGTCTTTTTCATATTTATCTCTTGGGGCCTAGAATGATATCCAATAAATGTTGAATGAGAAAGAACAAATGAAAACTTCTAAAATGTCACCTATAGCTTGAGTTTTTACAGAGATATCACCATTGAAATTTTTATGTTTCTTGGGGAGACACAGATTTAACTTAAAAATACCCATATGTCAAAGCCCAAATGCCCATTATCAAAGCAGTCTATTAAAAGGAATTTCTACGGTGCCCATTCACTGCCTCACGTCACTACTCTTCTTCTTAAAAATGATAGTGTAGGACATCTTAACAACTGGCTATTTTCTGGCTGATAAATTGGAGTAGGGCAATCTGTCCCTGGAAGGGTATTTGAATGCTTTAACAGTATCAGTCTAGAGTATGGTCAGGTCTGCACCTGGTGCTGAGCTGCCTTGCCATGTTCTCCTCTGTTATTCTATGATAGAAAATAACATATCGTATTTATCTCATATTATAATTAATGTAACGAATGATGAACCTGTCATTGCATTGCCCCTCTGATGGGAAAGACTTCCAGGTCTTTTCATTCATCCAGCTGCATCATTCACTCGACAAACACTTGGTGAGTCCAGACTTTGTGCCAGGGCTTCTAGGAGGCACTGAGGACACTGGTAAGAACACATGGTCCCCTTCCCAGGGAAGGCCCACTGTGCAGCTCATTGCCCACCAATGGTGCAAACACACAAACAGCTAACCCTCTCTGAGGCACACAAACTCAGCACGGGACACCAGGGTTAAACTGCCATCCTCTGGAGAGTGGCACACTGACATTTTGGATTTTGAAGCAGGGAAGTTGGGATGATTGTGGAGAACAATCATGCTGACTTCACTCGTGCTGAGTTGTTGTCAGTGTTCGAGAACCTTCATCTACTAAGATGATACAGAGAACACCAGTAAGTGGGGATGCACACATAAAGCAATTAACCCTAGTAAAATATTGTCTTTTGTATTAGAATTTGGTCTGTATATGTCTCAAAATGTGGTTGTTAAGAAGTAATAAGAAATAAATCTCGGAGGGAATAATCCAAATGCTTGTGATTATGATAACCTTGAACAAACTACTTCACTTCCCTCTCCTCAGTTTCCACATGTGTAAAACTAGCAGTTTGACTACATAATCCCTGAGATACCTTTCACCTCTAATGGTTCGTGAATGTGGCACTCATTCAGCCTGATCCTATGGATGGGAAGGGATTTTAAAGGCTCCTAATTCACTAGACTTTTTGAAGTAATCTCTCTCTCACTCTCTTGCCCCCTCACTCTCTCTGATCACCTCAATTTTTTTTTCAAATAGTACAATATTATTTGTTCCCAACCATTTTTGTTTTAAGAAAAAGGTTGTGATAATAAGGCTATCCCATTGGTAGTCAAAGATCATTAGATGCAAACAAACCTCAGTTAGAATCTGGATATTGTCATGTCATGTGTTGGTTGGACAAGCAACCTCTCTGAGACTCAGTTTCCTCATCTCTAAGGTGGGGACAATAATGGTGTCTACCTAATAGTGTGGTTGGGAGCAGTGAACTGGCGCCTGGAAGGCACACTGTTTGGCATACTGTAAGCACTCAGTAGACATTAGCCTCTAGTGTTATTATTAAT